CGGGTTTGTGATGAACCCAGGCGCCTAGGTTCATCGCGAACCCAGGATGAACCCAGCTCGCGCGACTGGGTTCACGACTGGGTTGGCAATGAACCCAGCTCGCACTTGGGTTTGCAACATACCCAGGCACAAGCTGGGTTCTCAATCTCTGCCAAGTCGCGAACCCAAGCGCAGCTGGGTTCTCAATCCTTGCCAAAAAAAAGAAAGCATGTTCTTCTCAAACAAATAGCTCTAGAAACATCCAACAACAGAAACAGAAATGAACCCAACAGCAGCAAAAATTTCACTACAATTACAATGTCATTATCATTCCAAACCAAATCCATCCATATCGAAACCAATCAATTACTACGTCGTCCCCACTAATCTAGAACATGAGCTCACAAAAAAACGAAAGACATGAGAACGAACAGAGAAGAGGAAAGCGGGACTGACCAGCTCCGGGTTCGTCACGAATCCACGCTCGATTTGTCGCAATAAACCCTGCTCGTGGGTTCGCGACGAACCCAGGAGCTAGATTCATCACGACGAACCCAGGCTCTTTGGTTCATCGCAAATCCACGCTGGGTTCGTCACGATGAACCCTGCTCGTGGGTTCGCGACGAACCCAGGAGCTAGATTCATCACGACGAACCCAGGCTCCTGGGTTCGTCGCAAATCCACGTTGGGTTCGTCGCGATGAACCCTGCTCGTGGGTTCGTCGCGATGAACCCTACTCGTGGGTTCGCGACGAACCTAGGAGCTGGGTTCATCGCAACGAACCCACGCTCCTGGGTTCCTCACTAATCCACGCTGGGTTCGTCGCGATGAACTTGCTCGTGGGTTCGTTCGCCTAAAGGTAAGAAAAAAAAGAAAAAAAGGCTGAAAGAAGGAGAGGATGGGAAAAGAAAATGAGGGTAAATTGGTAATTAAAGATAAAAAATTTGGCCATATCATTGGGCTTTGCCATATGGATTTCACATGTCATTTAAGTAAAGAAAAAAAATAAAATTTTCCGTTAATTAACCTGCCACATCAGCCAAAATTTAACAGAATGACTAAAAAGGGGCTGGATTTGTGAACAGTAAGGACCAAAAAAGGGATTTTTTCGGTATAGGGACTAAAAATGAGCTTCTTTCTATAGTAGAGGAACCAAAAAGGGTATTTAACCTATTTTTTTATAAAAAATATAAATATTTATTTACATGTTATTTTATTTATCTATGTTATCATTTTTTTTAGTTAGATTATACATGTTATCAAAAAAATATAAAAAATACAAAGTGGGTGGAGTTAATGGCTTAAACTGATGAAAATATCAAAATTGTGCAGTTATTAAAGTTAAGAGATTAAAAAAGTGTAAAAAATAATTTAAGGACCAAAAAAGTA